GGGGGGGGGGGGGGGAGTTGTAATATACTGGAAACCAGATAATAACATAAGTGTGTCAACAATAAATAATGAACACACTATGCAACCCACATGAATTGTGTTTATTACATTTTACATGTCAGTCACAAACTATGACTATGAGCTGCAAGTTTTCTATTTTCTGGAAGTCATTCCACAAAAATTCACATTCAAGAAACATTCTGCTGTCTTTAGGGACGTCAATCGGATGACATAATCCATCAATCCTGAGAACTGCATGGACCTGCCTCTTGCTCTGCCATATATTTGTTTTTCCCTTAACTGCTAACTGAAGTAACACAAAGCAATGAGATGGAAACATTGTCTCTGTTGAGCAATCTGCTTTTTTGTGGTTGGACTTCTGCCTTTATGTTTAAAACGGTACAAAAGGATGCTCCGAGAGCTTTTCTTGGACAGCTACAACACAATTTAGGGATAAAACTGAAACCAATCAGCATCCGGAGACATACTAGCATTGCTGTACCGTCAATATTGCTGACTCTACTGTATAGTACATATAACCCTGTGTTTTTTCTAAAACTCTGGGAACCAAGTACAAGACAAAAAAAACCCAGAAAATAGAGCTGGTATACTCTGGTCAAAAGCTGTCAATCTACTGTGACACTGCAGCACCACAAATTGAACATTTGATTAAAAAAAATAAAGCAAGAAGAAGCCAAGCGAAAGAATTTTAATGTTGTCCTCTTAATTTTCTGAGGTTGCCTAAACAATTACTTGGCTGATGTGGTTTCTATGGCAGCTATTACACCAGGCAGACGTGCTCTCCACTACCAATGAGTCAGCAATCAGTACTCTGCCTCATTGGGGAGATAACACTCTAACTCCTAATTCAGTCAACCAGCCTTCGGGCTTTTTGAGCATTGGCAAAGACTCACAACTCAAAAGCTCAATGTTCTGCATGCCCGTCACTGTGTGCCACACTGGGGAGTCGGGGAGCCCATCGAAAGCAAACACCGGGCAGACGGAGTTGTTTATTCAGCTCTACACTTTGTTTGGTAGGTGCATGTCCTCTTCTGATTGAGAGACCATTTGCTGTGTGTCATGGTGAATCACTAATTTTGAACTCTGCTCTCAGAGGCTGGTGGGGATATTCAGTTTTTACAGGACATTGTTTTTTTCTTGAGATCAACTCAAAGGCAGGATACACCAATAAAGCTGCTGATTATTCCACTGGGGCTATTAAGTCACAGCTGGACTTCGTCCTGACCTTCAAAACGGAAGAACTACTTAGAATGTAACTACCCAAGATGTGAATATAACTACTGCCTATTTCTACCTCCATCTTCTTCCGCAGTATGTGGCAAGGGCAAGAGGCTAAGTCCTGCTAGCACCAATATAGCTCCACTCAATGTTTATTCCTAAAGAAAGGTATTACTGGAATACCTCTGGCAACAGTTTGGCGCTTCATCCTCACTGATTGGGCTTTGAACCGTGGAACTGGGGGTTGTGAACGACCGCCATGCTGGTTTAACTGACTTATGGCTGAACCGTGGCACAAATCTTCGGTGTTCCTTTTGAACTGCGATACAAAGCTCAGCCCGTTAAGCCACGGGTTGCTGGCTAATATGAGCTAAGCTGACAAAAAGTGATGACTACAGGATAGCTTCATAATCCCCGAAGGAAAGATTATCCTTGTCAGAAATGACAAGCTTGGCAAGAAAAAAAGAAGGGGCAAGGTAGAGTTGACTGTACCAAGAGAACTACTTTTAACTGTATTGAGATTTAATAGAAAGAATTGCTTGCTTGCCTTCAATGGAGGCTAACCGGCTAAGGTATGGATGCATCCAGCAGTGAGAATATGAAATTATATGTGGAAAAACATAGAATAAGTTGATGCAGGAGGGGTTGTTTTTCCATGAGATAAGGGACAAGTGATGAGCACCTTACATAAATGAACCAGCTATCTGTTATTCTGACAGCACATTGATTGCTCACATTTTCAACTTGACAGCAGCCTCCTACTAATCACCTATCTATAGCTACATACCCAAGAATAATGGTGACAGATTAAAAGAAAAATATGAATAAATGAGTGGAGAAACATAATGAATGCAGATGCTTCCATACAGGAAACAATAGTCACTGAATGGTTTGATGAGTATGAAGATGACGTTGATCATATGCTATGGCCTGCATAGTCACCAGATCTGAACCCAACTACATCTATGGGAAATCTTGGAGCGACGTGTTAGACAGCATCCTTCATTTCCAACATCAAAACAGTAATTGAGGGTATATCTTTCATGTCTATTGTTCCACACACTTGGAGAATCTATGACAAGGAGTGCTTTAGATGTTGTAGAGGCTTGTGGTGGAGCAACAATTTGGTTAATAAATTGTTTAAAGTAATGTTTTAAACAAGAATGCTAACAAAGTTCCAGTTTTTAAAGTGTAAACTTTACTGGTATTTTTAAGTCTTCTATGGCAGTAGAACTCAATCTGAAAACTGCATACCCAGGCCATTATCATTACATTTAAGATTATTATTTGTTATATTTGTTCACATCCAAAGTTCTTATCAACACTGTATAGAAATCAGCCCTCTAGGAAATTCAATATGGATAAATTATTTTGGCTATAGTGATTGATTTGTCAAAAGTTCTTATTTTTACCAACCCCAATTGGAGCAAAATATCACGAATGGTTCTTTTATGAGATTTCCTTTTCTATAAATCAAGTTAAATATAAATCTTAACATGTTTGTTTTTTTAAAAAGCCCTCATAAAAACATATGAGCTCAAAATCATACTCAGCTACTTTCTTTTAAGGCAGTGGTTCCCGACCTTTTTGGTAAAATGTACCCCCACAGCCGAGTCCAATGAACTCAAGTACCCCTTCATCAACACCACCATTTATGTTGGATATAATAGGGGATGTTAAAATATTTTTGTACAGTTGAACTGTCAGGAGTGTGTCATCGAGAGGCAAAAGCTAGACGTTCTAACCATTTATTACTTTTAGTGATATATTTTCAATACATGATCCATTACTTTACACTAACTAGTCTACTCGCCAGCAACATTGCCTCAGAAATGTTGAGTACCCCAAAGTTTGATGTTAGAAATGTACATTATGGGTCCCCAGCATTTAGAAACCCTAGCTAGATGCTAATTTGCATATGTTGGGGAACTAGCATAGTTAGCATTGATAAGCATACTCACTTACAGGGACAATATTTCATTTTTCACTACTTGGCCAGTATAGGAGTGGTTTGGGGGATTTTGAGGTTCCTATTAAGTTATATTTTGCGTACTCAGTATCATTTATAGTGTTCCCATAAGGCTTAAATTCAATATCACTTTCACATTACTGGATCAGAAAAGGATGACAGCTTGTTGGTGATGTATTATAAACATATCACTGACAACAGAAAACTGTTGCCCTTTAATAACAAAATAAGCAACCCGGATATACAGAATACTAAATAAAAGGAAACCAGCAGAGCTTAACACACGAATGTACAAAACAACAAAAAGGAGCTTCTTTGGCATTTACAGTCAAAGGCAAATAAAAGCA